TTTCTTGTACACATACAACACGTGTTGGAATTAATGCGTGTGTTCAGAATGGACTTTAAATCCGAGATCTTCGCGAATAGCGAACGAACTTTAGAGTTGACCAANAGCAGGAGTGGAAGTAAGTGCAGTCTTCCATCCGGTTAGTCTGCGCATTTTTAATATAAAGATCTTTATCACTCACCAAGCAAATCATTAGCGGGTAGCACAGAACTCACGGGTGTTATTCGAAGCATGTCCTGACGGGAATACTTTTTGATCCTAGACATGATTAGCACCGAGATACTGATGAAACAAACGCTATAAATCCCAACGTGACAAACAATCACGAGAGTGTAGCGCAGCCAATCGAGGGATGTTTCTTCAATATCTCTGCAAGATACCAAGAACATTATGAAACCTAGGATACTTGATGGTTCGTGATCTTCCATACGTTTCGAATGAACCATTACCAAACTTTCCACTAAATGGTTCAAGGATTACTCCTTATGCTCAAGTGAAACAATACTGCAAACTGGCTCCATGCCAAACCACAAGAAACAGCAGTGTTAATAATTTGAATAACTCCTGGCAATAAGATATTCATCTTACTCTTATCCGGTTGAAAATGTGTTATCGTTTCAAAATAAATTGCAGTATTTCTTAAACGGCGAATCCATTTTTCTATGCTGCCTGTCAAAATTAATGTTATGAAAAGAGTTAGTGACCTCTGAGATAGTCACACAAATCCAACAAGCTCACTTCAGCACAAATTTTGGTCGACGAAACCTTGAGAGGGGCCCCCAAAACTTTTTCACTGATAATTTTGTGCTTCTCTTTATTTGCGTGACAAATGAAAAAAAAATGATTTCCGATCTCGCACTCTTATGATATACAGGTATTGACCAAACTCGTGCAACATCCTGATTTTCACTACATTTGTTCCTGTTAATGCTTTATTCTTCCAGCCTCATTCACGGGATTGAATATGATATTGCCCCAGATCAGATGCAACATATCTGATATAATATCCACTTGTGTCACTACTTATATTAGCCACATGCCATTAAATTGTACAATTTCGCGATTTCAACGATATTTGCAAATGCATCAGTTGTAAGATAACAAGTTCACAGTAGAAAACGTAACTGTAATTTATTTATTAAAATGACTAATAATAATAATAATAATAATTTAGCAATTTATTAAAGTTAGAATATTTTCAATAATTTGCTTATTTACTGTGCACTGAATGGAAAGAGAATAGAAATTTAGAATGCGTGTGCTCAACCTAATAGAAACTCTCATAGGACACGAATCATCTATTAAAAAGAATGAACATCCGTGCTGTTTTGCCCAAAATATTTTCTAAATCAGAGCTGTTACTTTCGAACTACTGCAAATTTTATAGCGACACTCAAGGTCGCGCACATTAAAATGGTGATAGAAATGAACTAAGAACGTAGATGTTGGAGATAAAGTCAGGAATAAATACACTGTACCCATAACCATCTATATGTAAGTATGCTATTGCAAGCTGAAATGGGTTTTCAAAATGAGGATGATGTTGCACGAGTTTGGTCAACACCTGTACAGGACCAATCCCAGTTATGATTTAACTCTTGTTATACTAGCTGGAAGTTACGTCCGGGTAACTTTGTCTGAGTTACTGTTCAACTATTTTTTATTCAGTGGCTACTCACCGACGCTCTCGATGCACAATTAGATCACAACTGTGATACTAATTTATCTGTGGATGTGTTTCCAAGCGACCTTAAAGACAGAAAATATACTAAAATAACCATGAATCCAAGGGTCCAGTGAGACATGCACACAACTCACTCTCAATCCAAAATGGGTGTGTCCTTGCACTCTCTTAAATGAGAATGTGATGCACAACCTCTTCACTCATATGTGCTCCGACCTTGAATTTCATGATAAAAAAACAGGAATAAAAGCAACGGCTACCAGATACGGAATTAATGGCGTGTAGCTTTTAGTAGAAAAAATAGCGATAAAAATGTGCCTATTAAATTAACAAAAAATTAAGGCATTATGCAGGCGCTAATTTGATTCCATTCGGGATTTTGAGGTGGGCTACTATGAAACGTTGAATAAGGTAAACCAGCAATTCTATTCAGTTCGATAACCTTAATAACAAAAAATGAAAGGTGGAAACAATCTTCGAATAATGAAGCTTAAATTTTCATGGTAGTAAGCCATCAGTTATGAGGTGTTTCCTACTTCTCAGGTTTATCCAATATTTACTCCTAGAATACTTACTTTTACTTTGATCTAATAAATCCCGCTGGAGGATAAGTCGGCTTCTTGAATGTCTCTAATGATGGCGGCCCATGCATAACAATCGGTAGAAAGGTTGAGGCAGTGTGAAACCCAGTTCTGGTCCCAGTTACGAATCCCATATACGGATTTCAGTCCCAGTAATTCCAAATCCGCTATGATAGTACTGCTCTAGGTCTTCGATGATCACCGAGTCGGCAACACTATCCACGGCACGGTGCGGGGACTAAAGTCTGTTGCGAGAGTTAGTGTCGGGCCTTCGGAGCACACGGCCAAACCACTGAGGGCACCACCGTTGTAGCATTTTTGAAAGCTTGTCAGTACTCAAGCAGCGCCGTCGAACTTCATCACTGGAAATCCGATCTCTCCAATTTACTTTCAAGATGCAGCGTAGGCACCAATGATCAAAGACTTTGACCTTCGTGGTATCTTGTAATCTTAGCGCCAGATTCCACAAACATAAGTGAGGATGGAGCACATTGAAGCCTGATAAACCCGAAGCTTGGTATTTAAGCTTATTTCGCATCGATTCCATAACAGTTTGAGTAGTTGTGGGAAGTGTCTTCTAGCTCCGTCTACACGGAGTTGGATTTCATCCTTAGACTGGTCGTTCAATCTTATCGAGAGGGGTTGTGTCATGGCAGACGTTTCGGTCGAAAATGTCTCCCTTTTCGACGTGTTGATCTCTAGCCCAATGGTTTTGGCAAACTGGTTTATACGATTTACAACAAGCTAGAGGTTGTCTCCAAGTAAAGTGACATCATCCGCGAACTCGAGGTCAGCAGTCGTAATCGATGGGTACTTGTCGCATTATCCAATCTACGGTGTAATTGAATAACACCGGCTATAGGGGAGAACATTTCGTAACTTCAGAGCTTAGGGTAAATTCAACTGATTCTTCGCCATAGTTGCGGACGAGTGCCAGGGTTCTTGAGTAGTATAACTTTAAAAGCCTGATGAACTTCTCATGTATCCCATCGGACGGCAATATGCACCACAAGTATTCTCTATCAACAGAGTCAAACAGAGCGCAAAGTCAGTGATACATGCAGTGGTAGGCTGTTGGAACTTGTAGCGGTGTTCTAGAATCCTGCGGAGACTGGAGATTTGTTTAACACAGCCTCTTTCGCGGCGAAACCCCTGCAAAGCGATTAAGCAGTATCACTGCAAGCAATTTGGCCGCAATATCAATGAGGCTAATTACCCTGTAATTTTGGCATGTAGATCTGTCACCCTCTTTTGGAACCAGGAGCAAAATTGAAGCTGTCCAATCTTTTGGAAAAACTTCTTTATCCCAAATGGTGCGGAAAAGAGAGTGCAGCAGATCGATCAGAGTTGGTAAGCAAACTTTGAATAACTCTGGTGATATCCTGTCTTCTCTAGGGGTCTTCCTGCTTTTCAGAAAAGTCAATGCATTGAAGATTTCTGTCGTACTAGGTGGTGCCTTAAGCCTCCAAACTGACACCTGTAGAGAGCCTGCTTGGTTTGGTGAGCGGTTAAGCAGCCCGTCGAGGTGTTCAACCCACCTTTGCATTTTCTGCTCAGTTCCCTGAATAATTTGACCTGTCGTGCTGCGCAACATTGGTTACGATGCCTGCCTCTTTCATGCTGCGACATGGATTAGACAGAATAGCTTTCCAAAGTCCACTGCGACGGTTACAGCTTCCATGCCGACTGCAATCGCCGTCCAGTATTGCTTACGGTCCCTCTAGGCGGAGCGTGCGGATTGGCGATGGAGACTACGAAATTCATGAGAATTGATCAACCACGCATCCGTTGCCTTTGCGGACAACTGCAGTGTACACTGAGAGATCCAGTCTCTCTTGCGGCGAAGGATCTCTTCTAACTACCTCATCATCGCTTCTCTGATGGACGTTTTCAGCGTAGACCACTGTGCGTTTATAGTTGAGTTATCGGAGAAAGTTGCGGTTACGTTGGAAGTAGTTCCTTCCAGCAGCGCCTGCCTTCTCTCAGGTGGTTACAAGAGCGCGACGTTAATTTTGTCCGGGAGACGAGTCTTTCAGTGAGCATTCAGGGGGATCTTGGAGCGGACGCATACAAGGGTATGGTCTGTGCGTTCCTGTTTCCAGTTTATGAGTCGAGATAGGAGCGGTAGTCTTCCACCGAAGAGGCCCAGCGAGCACGTTCCAAAATATGATCAATCTGGTGTGCTTTTCGACCATCATTTGAGTACCACGTGAGCAGATGTTTCCTGGGGTGCTGAAAACGAGTGTTGACCACGACCAGCTGGTTAAGGTTAGCAAATATAACTAGGCTTTCGCCATTTTTACGTTGACCAAGGCCAAACTTTCCTAGAACATGCCCAGTATATTCGTCTGACGGACCAGTGTGTATATTCCAGTCTCCTGCGATAACGAGGATGTCGCGTCTCAGACTGCGGTTCACTGCGTTTTGAACTTGGTTGTAANTGGTTGTAAAAGTCGTCTTTCATGGGTTTTTCCACATGTAACGTCGAAGCATATACAACGATGACGGTCAGGTTAAATGGCTTACCCCTGAAGCGCGCTATGGCAATCCTGGGAGAGATTGGTTCCCAGGAGATTATGGTATTTTTGGCCCGGCCGCTCACGGCGACTGCTACCCCGTGCGAACCGAAGTTATCAGTTCGGCCGCTGTGGTATAACCGGTAGGTTGCGTTGCTGTGTGGTATGCTTATTAGTTTTGTGCCATAGTTAGGTAGTCGGACTTCGGACAGACAACATATGTCTACCTTGCAGTCATGCAGTGACCGCATTGTGATCTACTGGCTTCCTGTGTCTAGCAATGTCCTAACATTCCAGCAGGCTACATGGATGCTGGATCGGTGCTTGGATGGTTTGGGTTCCCAGCTTGCTCATTGGTCACCCCAGCCACTGGGAGAGCACAGGGTGAGTCGCTTCCCGGGAACGCGATGTAATATTGTAAAACAGTCCATGAAAAACTAGGGAATGAGGTACTCAGTGACGTCCCCAGCGTCCCTCGGCTTTTGGTCGAGGGTACACTTCCAACCCTTGCACAACCAAGTGTGACCTGCAGGGTAACAGAGTAGAAGTTTTGGTAGCCGATGACTATCAGAATGGTTCATACGCCTTTCGGATGGCTCAGCGTCAGTCCAGGATCCGAAGGTGCCCGCGAGGTGTGAGGGTCGGTGGCATTTCTCAGAGTTTGTTCTGCTAGTAAGATTAGACAAGTAACAATGGCATTATTTGGTGACGGGCCAAATTCACACTCGTCGCGATGCCGTCAACAGCCACATGGCATTTTAAAAAGATACCAGTAGTCAGCCGGAAACCCCACCACATCCTATTGCACCGCCCTTGATCGTCCGCCATCCATTATTCAGTGAGTTAACCCCACCTATTCACGGTTAACCATCAAGATGGCTGTTCGCCTATCCGCGAACTACGGACGCGCGCGGTAGCACTCAGCTGTGCTATCCGTAGACATCCCATTGACTACGGGCCGAGAGTGGTTAAACTTTAATGTACTTACAATATGCACTTTGCCACAGTGATATATCATTGGAATCTTGTTGAACGTGTAAATAAATCTCACTGTTGCTTTCGAACTAAACTGTGCTCGGTGTTCAGTAAAAACAAATAAACACAATGAAGAGGTAGCCCAGTTGCGCCTAGGCGAGGAAAAAGCAACCATTCAACGGGGGAAAGATAATCAATAATATTTTATTAGCTTGTGCAAAGCAATATCCACGAAACATCGGTAAGTCTTCATACAAGCACCCTCCTCCAACACTCACATCCTTACCTCCAGTTTTATTTTATAGATCTATGCCCCGGACGATTCCAGTGGTAGTATTCCCAGGAGCAGTGTATATGAAGAAGATTCTGTGAAACAAAATTTGATGATGTACCAATGGGGTACACCAGAAACTTACCGTAAGTTACACGTGTGAAATCGTATCTTATAGTGTTAATGATAATGAAGGTTTGCAGCAGTTTGTGAACCATATGTTGGCAACAGGAGTAGTATACCGCTTACAGACTTGTCACGAGTTCATAGTTTGTTAGAATGATCGTCAAGTTAACCTTAGGACGGTATTTTTCTATTAACTCGAACTTAAATATTTGAGAACATTTACTCGTTTGTATAAAAGTTCATTATGGGAAATAAAATTTACCGCTTTGTGTTATATATGAGAAAATAACACAACGATTGTACAGTAAGTGCCCAACGGAAAAACATAAGCTTCCTTGCTCTCTCCAAAATTCGTTTGTTCTAGTTTGAGTTAAAACGTTCTGTGACACATTTTTCTTTGAATATTTATCCACGGGTGAGCTTTAGTGATATTATATGAGGTGTCTCGCGTTGGAACCTCACTTTCTGACATTCACCAAGGTTTCCAGGCCTGTATATTTGACGCCTGGAATTAACATCATTTGAATAATATCATGAATTGAGCAATCTCCCAAGAACTAAAACCCAAGGTCCGAAAACACAAGACAATCATATGCTTGAAGGGGAAAGTAATAACAAAAAATCTCACTGATAACTGCTTGTCCTTTTTTGTCAATGGGTAATTCAATACTGCTGTGAAACGGAAATTATGAATCCAGCGGGCCACTTTACCTAATCTACAGTGAACACAAATCAATCAGAACGTGATGTTTGATTGAGCTCATTTGATTTTTGGCAGGCACTTCGGTTTGTCTTCATTCTTCTAGTGTACTGGATTGTTAGTTTTAATCGTTGGGAGTCAGTTAATTTCTCACGTTTGAAATGGAAAAATTAGTTCTGGATGCGCAATATCTGAGGGAAAACTGATTGGAACTAACTTTTTTTCACTCTCATGTTAGGACGTTTACTGGAACCGGATAGTGAGAGAAAACGTTTGGAGATTAATCCGGATATCCCTTTATCGCTGACACCCCAAGGATACGCCAAGGTAATTGTCATTAAAGAAACCTTGTTTTGCAAAAGCCTGGAAATGTGGATTATTTTCAGATCAAACCAAGTTGTGGATTCTGCTCGCAGCGTTTAGTGATTGTGATCTCCATTCCCTACTGATCTCTAAGTTCAACTCACTGAAAATAGGAATAGAATAGTGCTGCAAAGGTGATAGATGAACAAGTCCAGTTCCGATTATCTATTGACCAAAGATTTTAATAAATTACTTATGGAGAATATATACAAATGAAGCTTATAATTATTCTCCAATTTACAAGAAGGTGATCGGAGAAAGAACTGTTATAAAAGACAAACTGGTACCTGTTAGTAAAGTGATCTGTTGCTCATGCTACGGTGCCACGGTGCATGCTGAAATAGTATCTTGAAGCAAATGGAAGGATTTGGTTTATTCGGGTGGTGAAACCTATTTCTATATTCCAGGAAAAGCACACGAAACAACCATTTCGTTGTTAGTTAATTAACTGTATGAACACAGTTAGGTCACAATTGGTTGAAGCTGCCAACTTCGGGAACGAGTAGACACTGAGAGGACAAATCAATCAATGCAGAGGACAAAGTTCAGAAAATAGAACGGGATTTGATGCGGGGCGTTATCAGTCACACCTATCCCGGCGATGCAAGGCTGATCACCAATTCAATCTATTTACTCAGGTCTGGTTTGTAACGTCTACTGGCAGCTACCGCGGTGAAGCTACTATTCTGGCAAATTAATCTTGGTGGACAATCGTCTCTCACTTGTTCCGAAGCGCTTAACACTGCAAGTACATGGAAAAACATAAAGACATGAGGAGGTAATTGAAGAATCAGATTTGTTCAGATTAAATTTAATGAGCGATTGTTTGAGGATAATAGATAAAAACTTTAACAACTTGCAAAATGTGTATTCATTTCGTCTTGATGTGATAAACAAAGAAGAGTCAGTGTTTAGAACATTCGTTTTGTGTCCTGTGGTGCAATCAAGGAGGCAATATTTTAGTTTCTTGCAATGTCTTCTTTTTACCTGTGCTCTATTCGCCTACCATTCTGATCCCCTTGAAACACTATTTTAGCGGAAACAACTTTGTTCGACGCAGTATTCTTTTGTACTCATATTCACAGTCCCGCGATATTTTGCAATAAACTGGACTTTGCATCCAATTTTGCATAGTATCATTGGTGTGCACTCAAAATCCAACTTCAAAGTTTCACATGAGCAGACTATCGTGTTTCTAGAGAATAGTGATTGTTTGCATCGTGCTTACCAAAAACGTCTAAAATTGGGACCTTATCCCGTCCAAGTCTGTCTATGAAATACGAATCTAATGAGAGATCCGTTTTCTTTTCTCATGAGTATGACATAAAGAACACTCAAATTCTTGAGTTCAACTGTGAGAGCAATGTTGTGATGTGGCTGACTAAGTTCACCAAAGAACCAACTTTATATGTGCACTGTCATTCATCATAACCAATGTGTCTTCATCATATCGGTCAATAAAGTATGTCCTCTCCATACAGTGTTGTAGATTCCGATTTTCCATGTGTCCCATGAAGAAAGCCGTCAACTTCAACTTGACCATAACAACCGCCCGTAAAACTGAACTGTACATCTTGAGCGCATAGAAGCGGTAATTTTGGAGAGGATGTGATGGAATTACAAGTACGTCGGCATATGAACTGACATACATTAATGTATCAGCCAGATAAGACGAAAACCCAATAACAAGTTATGCTTTCTCCAGTGTTTTCCACTAAATAATTTTCGTCAAACACTTGTCATATAAATATCTCATTCGGTTTTAGTCAAACAATCAACTGAGAACATTGGAGTGTTCTGCTGCTCATGCATACACTAGTGTAGCTAGACGTTCTATCTCTAGAAAATTTCACGGTGACTATTGTTAAACGTATTGGTATTAGGGGCATGAGAGTAACTGTAGGAACAACTCAAACTTTGATCATGTGTTTCGAATCTAAGAATTGCTGCCGTACATCCTTTCTTAACGATTTTGCTTTGACTTTTTCTCTCTAAAAATGACATTTGAATTTATATATCAAAGGTAAAAATTATGTTTTCTATTCTCTTATCTTTCCCTGTTTGATTTGAAGATGAAATTGAAAATGTCCATGTACAATCTTCGTTTCGATCAACTTCAACAGGAATTGCTGAAGCAAAGCAAGCTCTGGTCTGACCCAGATTTTCCCGCCAAAAAAGCCTCACTGGGTAAACTGGATCACATCATAGAAAAAATTGATTGGATGCGCATCAAGGTTTGTCGTGCTGAAACAGTGTACACTTTCACTTTGTTTTGTTCCTCTTTTGGGAAATAAAGTAGCTCCTTACTCGTCTAGTCACAGGAGACAGGTTGGTCAATCATCACTTCCCGTGACTAACGAGTGTTTATCACATGCCCAATTGACGCTTATCTTTGACTAATGTAATCTGGTCACCGTCATTTGATTAACTTATGTTGTGCAAGCTTCCAACTACCGTTTTCGAAGGAGATTAATTTTGCTTTTTCATTTCAATCCATATTCTGTGCGTTTTTGTCTGCTACTCATCACAATCCTCTACGTGATCCAAATCACGCTCGTATGTGGATCAATCGTCGTTCTGCATACAGTGATTCAGCTGCAGATACTCCAATCTGGCTATATTATTCTGACTAGATCAAAGTGCTCTATGAGCAAAGCATAGAAACTCATCTTGTGCAACAAAATCTTAACTGCATTACTTTCCTTTGGATATGTAGAAGACGGTATAATGTCCTATTCGTATGTTTCATGCAAATCCAGCCTAACTGTACGTGGATAAAATTTAACAAAACGTTGCAGTTAACAATTGGGATCTAGATAAACCAAAATTCAAACGAATTATTGGTGATATCTTGACTTACCTAGCTAGAATGGTTTATTTTAAAATAACCAAATACACATTTGTTTGCGAATGATCACTGGATGCAGAAAACAACTGAACGAAGCTCATCACTAATTCATTCTAACATTTCGAAAAATAAGTCTTGTTTTTTCCTTTTTCAAAAAATAATCAACTTCACTTAGAGCGTTCTGATTGTAGAGAGACTCCAGATCGAATATTTGGCTATGAATTGCACGCAATTTTGCATATGCTGCGCTCTGTCTGAATCAGTAATTTGAGTTCGGCCTACCAATCCGAAGAACGGTTGATTGGATTTAGACCGGGACACAAAAATTGCACTCATACATGGCAAATTCTAACAAGAACGATCTAATGGATCAAATTTGAGCTCTCTGGCAGAAAGCATGGCGAATAGCCCATGTCACTGTTTACTTGGTCAAATTAACGAAGCAGTTAATAGATCTGTCATTAGACAAAAATGTAAATATATATTTATGTATATTTTGTAATGCGTGGTATCTGAATCATTCGAAGAAAGCACACGATTGAATTCGTGGTTGTTGTCGCGCGTCAGTTATGTGCAGCGAGTAATCCTGTTAGTTCATTCATGAAATGGAACCCAAGAAGTTTATTTTTGTCACAATAACCTCATTTGGAGCAACGGATAAATCTGTTTGGACATTACCTTTTCAGAACCAGTCCATTGAAGAATCAATATATGATTCTATGAATTGTATAGGCAATTTGTATGGGTTAGATGCTACTAACCGCAACGAGCGCGACTTAACAGCCTTTAATGAATATTTTACAATATTTAGTGCATGAATGACTGGGCATTCATATATATATATATTTGTATATACCTATGTATATACATCATCCTACAAGCAGCATTAAAAACAATTTTTTACAATCGCAATATAACCTTCCTTTCGGGAATATTGCAAACTTAGTGCTGTTTGTTTTATTCACAACGGGAATCTTTGTTCACGGTTTTATTATGCAACGACGTCTAATAGAGCCATTCCACTGCATTATACAACTCAAAATTAGTTAAGGAGACAAGACTTGTAGTATTTTTCCAAACGTTTTCATTCCGCTGGATACATGGATAGCCGATTCCTCATCCAAAACCGCAGTGTTCTTTCACTTTGACTTATTAGTTTTTCGAACTTTGCAACTTATCAACTTTAGTTGAAATATCGGGTTCTCACTGTCATTCTTGTCAACATACAAACAAGACATTACGATGTTTTACTTTTGGTTCTCTTAACTGCTGATGTAAAATTAGCTGGTTTATCAGTAGTTAATTCTATGTTTCATAGAGTGTTGACTCAAGCGTCAGTGCCTTGGCGTTATACTAATTAAAATGCAACATTGATTGGTACTCAGATGTTTACTGTGCCGATACACTGAACGGCTACTCTGAAGGAAATCTGATCCACGGGTTGATTTTATTGTTCTTTTGCTTTGATTTTATGCGTTCCATGTTTGGCGAATGTATTCTCAACCTGATGGCTGCAATGGAAAGAGTTTTAAAGCCTGAGTTGACGTGACTTAAAGAGTGATTTGAGCATTATTGCACCTGAATAGAAACCTGTCTGTAGGTTACTTTGGATGAATAATAAGCAGGATCTTGTGTTCGAGTTAGTTCGTATATTGTAAGTCGTAGGTAAACGCATCCGGTTTTTAAACGACTGAAAGGTGCAATAAACTAATAACAAAACTTTGGACATGAAAAGAGCTCCAAACTATGTTGATATTCGCAATTGGTGAATACTTTGTAATTTAACACATTGCATGCATGAAGAACTAACTTTTCAAAGCTCACCTCCTATTTGGCCTATCCTAGAGTTTTGAAACATTTTCGCCTATATAGAGCTGCCAATCAACTGTCAGTTACTTTAATTTTACATCGTAGACCTCAAAATACAATTGCGGTCATCATGGCACAGTTGTAATGCAATCAATTAGCGTTGAACGTTTTCCAAACGTATCCATCTACCAGTGACAAATTGTTTATTTTCAGGAAATCAATCCGAATGCGCGGTTCTTTATAGAAGGAGCAACTCGTTTCGACATTGTTCAGGGACGTCTAGGTGAGATTTTTGTATTTGACCGGCCCATCTGAGCAACTGTTTCCAATTCCTTTGTTTTAACATTGATCGATTATCAATAGCAACAAAAACTAAGGATGCGTATTCGGACATTCATTATCCGCAGAAAAGTTTTCACACAGTTCAGTGGTGGTTGACACTAGTAACTGATTTCTTACTTTTTTATTATTTAAGTTACGTTTCTATAAGATATTAGGGAAAGAAAAGTGTGACTTATAACTCTTTGAAAGTCCGTCGTCATATGTGAATGGCTGGTGGCAGGATAGTCGAAAGTTGAAATGCACTAACTTTAAGCCGTTTTGACGCGAAACGTTTCAATCCAAATCTCTTACCGGACTTGCATGAGTACAATATGTACACAATGTAAAAATGTGTGCTGTCCAATATACAGCACAGTACATTCCGTCAGGTAAATGGAAAATAAAGGGTGAAGTGAAAACCTAGGACGCACCGCATTTTGTGTCATATTGTATTGTGTGTAGCTTTTCAAGCACTGAAGCCCACATTGCAGCCATAAAAAAATTATACATTGCAATCGTCATACGGAGCACAATAGACAAGGAAAATCGTTTCATACAGCACAGAGACAGTTCATAGTCTAAGCTTAAAACGAAGTTCACTTTCTTCCCTCTCTTTGCTTGTGAGTAAACATGCACGAATGGGTATAGGTGGATTTCTATAAACGTTGATACGAGATGACATTATTATGAATTCAGACCATATGCATGGATGGGAAGGAAAACCTCTCGGTGGCTAGGGTCTTCGAGAAACCTGTCCGCAAACTTGAAACAAATTCGTATGATAATCCGGAACGTTTGACAATTGGCTCATTCACAGAAATCTTGTGTAAGTAAGCCGGGTAAGATAACTAAAAAACAACATAAGTAAAATGAGGAAATGACACTGATGTTTAAAGGTAGAAATAACTGCCTGGAAAGCGCAAAACTGCCTGAGTTTTCTATTTCGCAATGATGGGAACCGCCATTTACCAACGTAGTTGCAGATGTGGGTTGAACAACTGTGAGTGCTATCTAAAGGTATATCAAGATAATGA